TTTAACTGCAATTTGCATTGTCTTGGTTCAGTAAATTATTTCAGTGTCCTACTTTAAAGTACAACTCGACGCTTCCTTTTTTTCTTTAAAGGAAGGCCACTCGATCTTATCGGATGTTATTGGATTTATATCATTATCATTATTTTATTTCTTGTGGCAAAAGATAAATAACGTATCTTTCTAGTATCCGTAGGTCAGTATTAGATATCGCGATCTTTTTTTATTTAGTTATTTATCTACTCAATTAGTCGTATCTACATCAAATGGAAATATTACACATTTCTTTCGAAGGAATCTACATTTTACTTGTCGCCATTGATAATTAGGTCAAGATTCTTCAAGTTGGAATGTGTTCCTTGGCAAGTTTTGAACTTCTCGCTATAGATTCTCTCGAGGTGCGCGAAGTATTCTCGCGTGGTCCATTCTCGCATCACCGCGACAATTATTCCGATCGACGTCGCACGTGGACTCACGCGCGCATCCATTTGCCCACGGAACATTTAAAAGATCACTGCGATGCTAATTGACCTAGAAATCAAGCGTAATGCCGATAATAGTCGCATAATTTCAGTCTATACGGGTAAAGGACTGTGTCGCGGCACCGTGGCAGGCCTTGTCGTCGTGGCTGTCGTTATCGTGTCGTGTTGAGTCCTAAGCTCGTGTAACGAGTTTACGCCGAGTCGCAGAATATACCGTGTTGTACACGTATAAGCGTAGGGTGTAGTATAAATACAAGGAGGAAGACAAAAAGCTCAAGTACGTCGCGTCACGACGATACTTTCGCACGCTGAATCGCTTACTCCATACCACTTCGTCTATAATAATTCTCTCTCCCTTTTGTATGCTATTAATCGCTCGCGATAACGAGCCGATGAGTAAACTCGCTAACACATCGCATCGCGTTGGCGGCGAGCCTCCATGTGTTGGCCGATTCTGTCGGCGGTACGCTAAACGATATTATTATTAATTGGAGCGTTACAATTGGACCATATTACGTAAGGCGGTGACACCGAATGTGACGCTTTGTAAATTGACGAAACTTATTTGAATAAAGAATTGGACATTTTTCTCTTTTTTTTTCTCTGTTTTTTTTTTATCAACTCACAACCGACCCGCTGCAATTGCACCCGGTGCCGTAATACTCAACGCCGCATTGCGTAACGCGGTGCAATCGTGTGCCGAAAACGCGACACTCGAAAGTGAAACCGATTCCATCCGATTCTCCGCTGCGACGCGTTGCAGTTAATTGTCTACACTCCGCTCCGGGAGCGCACGCAATTTTAACGCAATCGCGGTACCGTTGTAATAAGAAAACAAAAAAAAAAGGAAAAAGACTCGGAGGGCATCTCTAGTTTGCGGACGCGGACGTGCTCGTATATATAGCGACTGCCAAACACGGCGTTGCGTCGTCGATTTTACACTTTGAAAGTTTCTGGGTCGCGGCGTGCGGATGGGCTTTCACTTTCCTCCGTTTCTTCCGTTCCGTTCTTTCGAGCGCGTTCTGTGCCGGCCGCCGAGAGCCCTTTTCGCTTTCGTTTGACCCTTTTTCATCCGCGACAATTCTTATTCCACCTGCGTCGCCGGCTATACATCGGCGGTAGTGCTCCATCGAGAGACCTCTTTTTTTTTAAGTAGACACTTATCCGGTCGACCTATCCGGTAAAAATAATGCGTGCGTGCGTGCGTGCGTGCGTGCGTGCGCTCTGACGCGCGGTGTGCTCACGCAGGTACTCACTTCCGATCCGCACCGGTTCGAACAAAAGACACAGACGCTGTTTAGAAGCACTGCGGTACAATGAGGAACGGAAATTCGATCGATCGTGTGTATTTTTTCAACGGGATTCGAGTTACGGCCCTCGTTCAGATCGCACGTCGTTACAGATTTTGCGCAGTTTGTTAAGTTATCTGAATAAAATGATCTCGTAATATACTACTTTTTAAATATGATTTAATAGCGTTGACATAAATGTTGTGTCGTTACGGCACAACATTTTGCAGTTATTACACACAGAATGACTTTAGCGTCTCTATCGTAAAAACAGAATGTACGATATTACGAAAATTTCACGTTTGAACGATGGATATTTTAAGTAAATAATCGCCGTCGAAAAACTCATTTGTGAGGGGAATATGAGATAGCATTCAAAAAACATTTTATCGATATGAATTCTGTATTTTGGCGCTGAAGATGACTCAAAGCTAAATCGAAAACGTTCGCCTTTTCAAGAAACCAAAGTATATTTATGAAGCTTAAGCACTCTTTTATCTACGAATAATCTACGCACCGTTAATCGCTTTTGATTTTTTTAGCCATATATTACTATCTTATACATTTTTTTTATTCTTATTGACGAATCCGCGTTTGTCGTTTCCATGTATTTCTCGACAAATGTTCTTTTCTACCATTGTAGATTGACTTTAATCTCGGTTCAACTTACTTTTTATCTTTTTCTAGTTCTAAGAATTATACTGGTTTCTATCAGTGTAATTTAAATCTCGG